TTTAGGGGCAGTGTAGATGTTGGACTAATATAAACCATTCAGTTGGAAGAACTACCTTTTGAAATCAATAGGATGAACAGTTAAAGGTGACAGTTGATTTGAACGGCTTTAATCCCATGCGGATGACTTAAACGTGCTATTTTCAGCCAATCAATTGATAGTCAAGATAGCATCTACGTCTATTTCTCTGCCCCTTTCTCTAACCCCAGATGAAAACACTTGCTCATTTTCATTAACAGCTATCGCCCCATTGAAATGTTCAGGAAAGTTCCATTGATAAACAGCAGACGCGCAATTTTCAGCCGTCCCTGGATTGAAGCGGTCCCTTCTTTTCTTTATTTGAAAAAAAGCAAAAGTGTGTGTGTGTGTGTGGATAGGCGTACCTTCTCTATTAAATGATCCGAATTGACAAGTGTTTCCGGAAATGGGCTTTCTTCAGAATTTGAGGCGCATTCTGCTCAATGCCACGATCTCAGGTAAAAAGTACTTTCACCAGGCCTCTTAAAACCAGAAAGTGACATTATAGCCCAGCCGTGATTGATCTGAAGCGTTCACCCAAGCGTTGAGAAACACCTGCAGCCTCGGATCTGCCCGAAAGGAGTAACGCTAATCGTTTAAACAAAACAAAAAGTAAATGCTTCGTCAAGTGTTATTTAAATCTCGGGAGTCGTTCCGTGGTTAGCGCAGCCACCTGTTTTCCTGGGTTAGTAGTTTCGGATCTTAAGAGGGAAAGCTATTTGAAAATGCAGCCAATATTTCAGTAATTTAGATTCACGATGTTTTTTTTAAGGAGATGGGAGGGATTAGAGCTTCCACATCCTCAACAGGATGTGCATTTTGGGGGAAATTAATATTTCAAAAGTAGGAATCCAATGTCTCTTTGCTCTGATAAATGAAGCGAGATGCTTCATATTAAATCCATGTATCCCCCCACCCACTCCAACAACTGGTAAATACTAGATAGTAGATTAATTTTCAGGTTTTCCAGTACTAGCAGCGAAACAAAACATAACAAAGGCAAAAAAAACCATATTCATTTAGAGCCCGGGGAAAGGTATTTTTCAGCTTCAGACTATCTTCAATAGATATACGTGAAACATTGCTAAAAAGTTTGCTTTGACAATAATTAGGTATATAAAAGCCTAATGCTTCGGAATGAATTCGCTTAGGGTACCACAACTCCAGAAAAAGGATGTCCTATTGATAACGCGCTTCCAATATGTGTGGTTAGTTCTGGGGTCTTAACGTAGACCCTCCTCTGCTTTCATTTCCGTCTTTTGAATAAAGGAATAGTTTGTGTGTTTACTCCCTTATGTCCCTCCCTTATCATAATCTAAACAGAAGCCACACTGTAGTTTTTATATAAATTGACTGCATTTTTGTCACATTTTAAATTGCCACTCCCCATTACTCACAGTACACATATTCCTTTTATCCCATGAATCGCCACTAATTATTGAATAGAAGCAGAATATCTCTGTGTGTACACACACACACACACACACACACACACACACACACACACACGGCTATATCCACAATCTTCAGGACCGAACCCGTCTAAATTAAAACAAATATTGTTTCAGCTAAGGCAAGATGCTCATCTCTTGTTGCAACATCACATCGCGGATTAATCCCTCGCACTTTAAAAACCTGGGAGCTGATTGTGCTGGGTAGACGACAGTGATAAAGAATTAAGAAATACTTTGGACCTAAAGCTTTTACGGAAATGACCAAAAGCTAAAGGAAGGAGGAAAAGACATGGTCGCTGGCTTTGAATCAGCGACAAAGCCAGACTTTGGGGAGGAAGGACAATATAACTTTTTTTTTTTAAATGGTGGATTTTTTTCCTCATTAAAGCACCTTTATAATGAATCTATCTGTAAATATCTGGTCTCCGAATTTGTCCACAATCATTAAGGCTCACTGAGCTGCCTTCTTTCCATGTGGAAAACTTTTTCCAAGTTTTTAAAAATTAAA